CGTCTAGACTACAAGCCTGTTTCGAAAGAGATTGTCTAGCCAGCCACAAGAGTATCGAAAAAGCAATCAGCTTTTTCAAAAGAGAGCACCCAGGCAATCTGGACACTCTCTTTCAAAAAAGCCCTGTTTGGGTTCAAGAACACCTTTTTTCGAAAGAGCTCTTTTGAAAAAAGACGTTCTTCCTGGAAAAAGTAGGTTTACCGATTTCGAAAAAACTGCCATGTTCTTTTGATTTAATTTTGAAAGAACGCGATGGCAGTCTAGATGCAGGTGAAGTTTTTTCAAAAAAAGGCCACTTTTTTCTAGACCAGGGTTTCCCAACCTATGGGTCATTACATTTCAAAAGGGTTGCCAGGTGTTTCTCCAGGTGGCTCTTAAGGAGCCATACACACATTTTTTTAATTGCCCTGGGTCACCAAGTCTTCCTGAATTGTCAAATGGGTCCCCATCTGGAAAAGGTTGGGAACCACTGGTCTAGATACACCCTAAGTGCTATTGTAACATTTCTGCAAATCCTACATGAGCAAACACAAAATTGCACCAATTATTAGCTCTTTGCAGCAAGAACTGATTTACCGGTATGTGCATTTCTTACTATTGTAAAATACCCTGTATATGTATGTCCCAACAGTAATGAATAATAGTATACCATATACTGGTGCACCAAGTTTGGTGGTCTCCATTACCATATTTATGGTAACATCCTCCAGAATTCATACATAATAATTATTATTAACAGTACGCTTGGGACTAATGTAAGGATAATATAAAGGCAGTATGGACACAAATATTTGATGCAATGGTGGACAAGGAAATCAGTTGTATTTACATTGATATGTACATTATGAAAAGTATCAGGCCAAATACCACTGCCTGTGGTGCTTGCGTACACCTTCCTTTTTCCCTAAGCCATAGCTTCACAGCATGGCACTTGGCTCTCTTTTATCCCAGTCCCTTATCCCTTCTATGGAAGCGGTTCTTCCCTCCCGCACTACACTTACTACTAGCTACATGCATTTGTCTGTCACACAGTGCTCTGTCAGGCTCGTTTTGAAATCCTTGTAGACAGTCTTGTTTGTGACAACTTCAGGATACAAACTGAAAATAAAATATGTTTACAGGTTAGGTCTCTAAAGTGTCTCTCAAATTATCATCATATAACTTTCCCTTGCTATGTCTCTTTTACACATTTGAATTTTCAGCTCCTTTAGGAATATCATGTACCCCTTGGAAGACATTGGCTCAGTTGCAGACATTGCTTATTTGTTGGCCATGGGCAGAAAGTGGGTGTGATCCACTTTTCACTTTATCACTTCCTGTTGACTGCTACGCAAACAGAGTTTGACATCATCAGGTTGAGCCATTCTCAACTCTCCCACTTAAACTGTATTGTACCAGAGTGAATAAGTAGCCAGGAAAAGACGGTGTAGTTGCCCCAGAACAATTGCTCAAGATTAAAGGAAATATATTGTAACAAACTCCTTCGGAGATATAAGATTGTGACAAACTTAGGTCCATCTCTGAGCTCTCTGCTGACATTTGCTCAGGGAGGTCATGGAGATAATAAACCAACTGGGCCAATTGATGATGGGGGCAACAAAGCAACACATCCAATCAATGGAGTCATGTTAACAGACAATCATCCACTTTTCCTTCTGGCCAGAGTTGCAATGCCAGATTATGAGGCTACGGAAGGGCCTTGCTATAGAACCTTCCAAACTGGATTAGATGCTTTACATGCATATTTATTCTGTCTGCTTAGATCTCAAATGCTCTCCAAGTAAAGCTGAGGGTCCATCTGAACAAAATATTCCCTACCCCTGGCCAAACACGGGAGATAAAAACATGAATGTTTTGGGGGTTTTGCCTTGACCATTGTAGTCTGAGTTTTTTAACTCACAAGGTTAACATATGTAAGGCAAAGATGTAAAAACTATCAGTAAAGCTATGAGAGCAAGTATGGCATTGTGATTGTTCAAAATAACTACTCAGGAACCTTAGTGTGCATAGCTTTTTTAACTAGCGTAGAGATTATAGCCCTGTCTGAACAAGGAAATACAGATTATACTATTCATCTGGAAAGGTGATGATTTGCTAACAGCTCAAAATAAATGCATTGAGCCTAAAATAGTAATGATGATGCTTAGAATGCAAATACATCCTTTTCTTTTCAAAGTGCTGTTGCATCATTAACTCATTCAGCCTTAGTGCACCCCTCTGTGATAGGCAAAGTAGTCTAATCCCTGATTTATTGAGGGTGATGCAGCGAGAGCCGAAGGGGCGTGTCCAAGGCCATGAGTGAGAGAAAGATGAAGTGAGTATCAGATACTAAGTTGTCTGCACTGCAGTGAGGTTTTGCTTAAAAAAAGGACTGCTGGATTAAGCCTCTGAGTAATAACAATAAAGATACATTGATGTAAAATGAAGGTTGAATGAGACCTAGATATGTACCTTCCATGTCTATTTGCATGTGTTTGGTGAGGCTGCTTATAACCACTAC